TTCCGCCTTAAAGCTCCGCCTATGCTGGTTGATTGACACCTCAATTGAATTTGATTTATCATTTGCGATGTCTGTTTGAGGATTTGATTCACCATTTGCAGAGTCGTTTAAGGATTTGATTCACCATTTGCGGAGTTGTTTGAGCATTTGATTCACCATTTGCGATGTCGGTTTAAGGATTTGATTTATAGTTTGAGCATTTTGATTCACCATTTACGATGTCAGTTTGAGGATTTGATTTATCAATTGCGATGTCAGTTTGAGGATTTGATTTATCATTTGCGATGTCAGTTTGAGGATTTGATTTATAGTTTGAGTATTTGATTTATCATTTGATCTTTTAAGCATTTGAATTTTCATTTGAATTTTGTTAGGAAAAAACTTCCATACAAAACTTTCAGCACTTATAATTCAAATGAAATAAAAATGCTAATGATTTCAGGACAGCACACTTTCTTCCACACACCACATAATGCTGCCCTCTTCAACTCTCCTCTTCCTTTATACTCTCACCCATTTCCTTTCTGCCGTCCCATGGGTGGAGACCAATTAAACAATGTTGACTGTCATCACAGAAAACACCAACAATCATAAATGCATGATTATTTGCGGTCATGGCTTTGCAATATACAGAGTGTACTGAGTTTTTTTTTTTTTCAAAGCATTTTCCCAATATATGTCCAAAATAAGATGTCCCCAAATATCAGTCCTTTTGCTGAAACACAGAAAGTTTTGGCCAAATTAAGCCTTAAAATCACCCCAGAATGGATGAGCCCAACAGCACACAAGGGGGGAAAGGTGCACATTCCAGCCTTCATGTAGATGCTGTACAGGTATGTCTCATGTCTGCAAGGCAAATATTCAGCAGTTTGTTTAGCTGTTACCCCCGAACTTTTTTTTTTTTTCTGATGCGTTTACCAGTCAAGCACAGAATGAATAAGTTTCCTTGTCAACATTACAAATTTTAGAAAAAACATTTTGTTGTAATTATGAATATATACAAGTAAAAAACAGGGCATTTACAGCTTTCAAATCTGTGTCTTATCAATGTGACCAAAATGACTTTTATAATCAATTATGTAAAAACTCTGAAAACTGGACAGACAGTTTCAATTTACTAAAACTTCTATGTTAAGCGGCTTTGACACAGTTTAACTTATAAAAGCACTAGATAAATAAAGATGAATTCAATATGCTTAAATGTGTACACGTTAATAGACCGAACAAAATATTTGATTTATTTTACATTAATATGCATCAAAATTACAGTGTGTGTAGCCAATGTTTCCCTTCGGTTGGGGAACTTCAGTGCTATAAGTGGATTTGATCTTGGGAAAATCCACGTATGGGAGGATTCGGTTCAAAAGCCGCTTGTCTCAAAGAGTATTGAACGGGCCAATGAAAGCAATGAATTGGCAGCGTAAGCTTGCGCAGGTGTGCTTCATTGCCAATTATCCCAGGATATAAGCACACCTGGAGCGAGCAAACGCCATCCTTTTCGCTTCAGAGACTTTCTGATCGAGTCGATGAGGGTTCCTCTTGCTGGTTCAGCGACTTAAGAGCGAACGAGTGTCTCCCGGTCCAGAGTGGGTTTTCGCGGCGGCAGACGGTCGAGCTGGGTCCGGTCCTCCAGAGCGGTGCGTATTGTTGTAAACTTTCCTAAAAGAGCAACACAGTCATGCAGCACGTCCTTTTCAGGATGGCGCTCCGACTGTGCGTTTCTGCTTGCCGGGGTTTCCTGGCTCCGGATGATGGACACGATCACTGCATTACATGTTTGGGGGTCCAGCATGTTAATGTGGTGCTCGCGGGCAGTTCATGTCGTCACTGCGATGCCATGACCGTTGCACAGCTAAGATCGCCTCCGGGCAGGTGAGCGCCGTCAAAATGGATCCTGAAGCGGACATGTTAGTCGTGCTTTCCAGGGCTGCTTCGGCCGTGGGGTTGGAGCTGGTTCATCCCCCATCTCCACGGCCGGACCAACTAGGTGGGTGCTACGTGGAGGACCAGAAGGCGAAGCCTTCGAAGCCTCTGGTCCCCTTCTTCCCGGAAGTGCACAGTAGGCTCACGCAGTCTTGGAGGGCAACTTTCTCAGCCCATGCTGCGTGTCCCTCCGCCCTCACCGCCCTTGATGGCGGAGCTGCCAGGGGGTATGAGGCGATTCCGTCAGTGGAACGCGCTATCGCGGTCAATCTTTGTCCGCGTGGCGCCCCTACGTGGCGTGGTCCGCCCCGTCTCCTGTCCAAAGCCTGTAGGTTGTCTGCCTCCCTCGGAGCCAGAGCTTATAAGGCTGCGGGCCAGGCTGCTTCCGCCTTGCACGCGCTACCAAGCGCAGGCGCTGGCCGAGCTGCACGAGGGCGGGTCTAACCCAGGCTTACTACATGAGCTGCGCACCACAACCGACTATGCTCTTCGGACTACTAAGTCCGCCGCGTGTGCACTGGGGATGGACGATGTTTACACTTGTGGTTCAGGAACGCCACCTCTGGCTAGACCTGGCCGATATGCGCAATAATGACAAAGTTCGCTTTCTAGACTCGCCCATATCCCAGGCTGGCCTGTTCGGCGACACTGTCGGTGAATTCACCCAGGAATTCAAGGCGGTGAAAGAGCAGTCGGATGCGATGGGTAATGTCATCTATCGGCGCGGTCGTAAGCCCGCTCCGCCCTCCGAGCCATCCACCTCCACTGTTCCTCGCCGAGGGCGCCCGCCAACGAGTGCTGCCCCGCCCCCGGGCGCGCCGTACACCTCGAAAGCAGGCAGCCGTTAGCCGACAGGGCACCATCTGGCACCCTCGCCCCGATCTTTGGAACCTCCACGTGTAGTCCCTAGACGTGAGGAAGACTTGGGTAACCTACCGAGTGCCGTGGTTAATACCATCACTCAGGCTAGTGCCCCCTCCACGAGGTGCCCCTACGCCCTGAATCGGAGTCTATTCACTACATGGTGTGTCTCTCGCAGAGAAGACCTCAGAAATTGCCAGATCAGTGTTGTGCTCTCTTTTCTCCAAGAGAAGCTGGACAGCAGGCTGTCGCCCTCCACTCTCAAGGTTTACGTGGCGGCCATCTCCGCTTATCATAACACGGTAGCTGGCGGCATCGTGGGAAAGCACAACCTCATCATCCGGTTCCTCAGAGGTCTTAGGCGAATTAATCCATCCCGCCCCCTCTCATGCCCTCTTGGGATCTCGCCCTCGTTCTCACAAGTTTACGCGCAGATCCCTTTGAGCCACTCGATTCAGTATCTCTAAGATTTCTGTCACTGAACTGCTGGTCGCGTTGGCCTCCATCAAGAGGGTCGAGGACCTGGAGGCATTTTCGGTCAGTGACTCGTGCCTGGAATTCGGGCCGGATTACTCTCACGTTATCCTGAGACCCCGCCCGGGTTATGTGCCCAAGGTTCCTACCACCCCCTTTAGAGATCAGGTAGTGAACCTGCAAGCGCTGCCCCCGGAGGAGGCAGACCCAGCCCTTTCCTTACTGTGTCCAGTTCACGCGCTGCACATTTATGTGGACCGTACTCAGCACTTTAGATCATCTGAGCAGCTCTTTGTCTGTTATGGCGGTCGGCAGCAGGGAAGTGGCGTATCGAAACAAAGATTATCCCACTGGATTGTGGATGCCATTTCACTCGCTTATTCGAGCAGAGGTGAGCCGTGTCCCCCGGGAGTGCGTGCACACTCCACTCGGCGCGTTGCATCCTCTTGGGCTTGTGCACGCGGCGCCTCTCTAACAGACATTTGTAGAGCTGCGGGCTGGGCGACACCCAACACATTTGCAAGGTTTTACAATCTGCGAGTGGAGCCGGTTTCCTCAAGGGTATTAGGCAACCCTTTGGTGATTGAGGAAACAACTCAGTAGGGTGTTGAAACACGCTTGCTGCGCCATTGTCCCTAACATGGAGATACGTGTGCCCTTTTATCTGTCAGTAAAGTTCCCCGTCAGGTGAGCCCTGCAGATTCCTCCGTGGACCCCAGCACTGACTCAGCAGAGGAGTCACTTGCTGGCCCACTACGTTGTTGGTCTGCCCGCTGGTCAGCCCGCATCTTGGGTATAGGTGTCTGCTATGCGTGATCCCCACTAGGTGACTATGCTTATTCCGCCACGGTTAAGTCCCCCCTCTGGGTGGACCCGTGTCTTCCCTCTCCGCTAACCTCTTTGTCTATGCACACTCCCCCTTCTTAGGGCTAGTCCATATGTAATTCTGCCATTTTATCTCCCCCCTTGGGTAGCGGATGGCCTCCGCAGCATCCTCCCTATCGGGATTGCACGCTTCCCAACGTACTGTCGTATTTTCCTAGAATCATCTAGACGCACACGACTTCCCAAAAAATATATCTAAATCCGTAAAACTTCTGTTGAAGGGAGATAAATTAGGGCCAGGGACACGTTGGAAGACCGCACCTCCCATGATGTGGGTGCGTCACGCTTGCTTGACTATCCCCTCATCGGGGGCGTTGGTAAGGTGCAGTCATTATGGCGTTTTTCATAGTTCTCCCATCCGTGGATTTTCCCAAAGATCAAATCCACTGTATAGCACTAAAGTTCCCTAACCGCAGGGGAACATTCGAGGTTACAGAAGTAAAACTTTGTTCCCCGAGGAGGGGAACGGAAGTGCTATACTCCGTCACCATAATGACTGTCCCTTAGCTGTTAGAAAGTCTCTTCAGCTTAAAAGTATGGTGTTTGCTCGCTCCAGGTGTACTTATATGCTGGGATAATTGGCAATGAAGCACACCTGCGCAAGCTTACGCTGCCAATTCATTGCTTTCATTGGCCTGTTCAATACACTTTCAGACAAGCGGCTTCTGAACCGAATCCTCCCATACGTGGATTTTCCCAAGATCAAATCCACTTATAGCACTTCCGTTCCCCTCCTTGGGGAACGAAGGGTAACTTCTGTCACCTCGAACGTTTCCAGTGTCTTTTCACTTTTCAGCTTTTGATGAGAGTTTTTAAGACTTAATGAAAACTAATGTTTTTTTTTTTTTTTTCAGACCTAATTGAAGAGAAGGAGAGGAGTAAAGAGGAGGAACATCATGTCAAAATTGAGGAAAAAACTCATTTACAGACTGATTTTAAAAGGAGAGACAATAATTGTTTCACCTGCACTCAGTGTGGAAAGAGTTTTGGAAGAAAAGACATTCTTAAGATTCACATGAGGATCCACACTGGAGAGAAACCATTCACATGCACTCAGTGTGGAAAGAGTTTCAGCTGCTCATCACACCTTAATCAACACATAAGTATCCACACTGGAGAGAAACCATTTACTTGCACTCAGTGTGGGAATAGTTTCAGCCAATTAGCACACTTTAATCATCACATGAGGATCCACACTGGAGAGAAACCATTCACATGCACTTACTGTGGGAAGAGTTTCAGCCAATCATCAAACTTTAATAAACACATGAGGATCCACACTGGAGAGAAACCATTCACATGCACTCACTGTGGGAAGAGTTTCAGCCAATCATCAAACTTTAATAAACACATGAGGATCCACACTGGAGAGAAACCATTCACATGCTCTCAGTGTGGGAAGAGTTTCAGCCAATCATCAAATTTTAATCAACACATGAAGATCCACACTGGAGAGAAACCATTCACATGCACTCACTGTGGGAAGAGTTTCAGCCAATCATCAAACTTTAATAGACACATGAGTATCCACACTGGAGAGAAACCATTCACATGCCCCCAGTGTGGGAAGAGTTTCAGCCGATCATCGTCCTTTAATTTACACATGGTGAGCCACACTGGAGAGAAACTATTCACTTGCACTTAAGCTGCGGTCACACTGGACTTTTCTCCCCATAGACTTCCATTCATACGCACGTGAATGCGTCAGACCGGAAACCAAGTTTGTGCATCAAGTTTCGCAGTTCACTGCGTTGCAAAGTTCAAGCTTGGTGAACTCTGACCTGCAAAATCACATCACTTGACTAGGGCTGTGTATTGTTCTAAAGTGTTCGATACCGATACCCTGAATTCGATACCGGTTTCGAACGATACTTTTTTTCTATACTTTTATTTTAAGAAATAAATTTTAACAAGATTACATAACACATAATCTCAGAGAAACTATTTTTTCACTGCAGGCTTATCTTTAAGACCAATAAACAAAGGAACAAAAGCACAAAATGAACAAAGTGTAGTTAACACAATATATTAGTGCTAACAGTTTTAATAAAGTTTAAGCAGTTTAAGTCAATCAATTTTAAGTATTTGTGAGGCTAACTGCTGCCTAAAGGTTTTCCAGATATCAAAATGACTCCGGAACAGATCCGCGCCGGAGGTATTACATGATCCGCAACAGAAACGGGTCCGCAAATGGGTCTGTACTGGAGTCTACTTGCACAGCGCAACGGATCCGGAACGGATAAGAATTCTGTATCCGTTCCGGACCCATTTCAGACGTTACCCGTATCCGCTAATAAAGCTCTTCATCCGGATCCGATCCGGACCCGTTAATAGAGTAGCTCATCCAGCTCGGATCCAATCCAGACCCGCTGATAGAGTAGCTCATCCGGCGCAGATCCGATCCAGACCCGCTGATAGACTAGCTCATCCGGCCCGGATCCAGTCTAGACCCGAACCCATTGATAAAGTAACTTATCCGGATCCAATCCAGACCCGTTCATTAGTAGATAATTTGGTGCTGATACCAAAACTAATCTGGGCAAAACTACCTAAAGAAATATCTAAAATCTATAGAACAACATTGCTCAATAAAAGCTTGCATATTTAAAATGTCTGCCTTAATCACTCAAAACTTCTAAATCTAAATGAATGTTTTAGCCAATCACAAAAAAACTATAAAAAGTTAATTAAATGGGTTAAATATAAATCAGTAATTACCTATTTTCAAAGTTGCATTATGTATACACTGACCAGAACAAATAAAACACAATGGAAAAACTGTACCGTTAACTTTTTTTTTTTTTTTTTCATGTAGTAAAATGTTTTTATGAAGTAAGAGTAAAAGGAGAATCAAAACAGAATTCATTATAGACTCTTTGCTGAACAGAATGTTTTGAGTGTTGCTGTTGCAGGTGATAAACGCTGCTCAGGAGAGTATGAAGATGTCATGAGTGTTGCAGTTGCACATGATGTAGGTTGCTCAGGACAGGATGGAGATGATGTGAGTGTTGCTGTTGCAGGTGATGAACGCTGTTCAGGAGAGTATGAAGATTAGAATGAATATATAAAATTCAAAAGAAAATGCACCATTAAACCTCCAAATGGCAGTTTGTGGTAGGTTTAAATAATGATATATTAATTAGGTTAAATACTCACAATGCTTTGATTTTTGTAGGCAAGTCTTTTGTCTTAATTCACTTTCTGCTTCGTTAAAGCGGTTAAAGCAGTCTTGGTGATGTTGATGCAAATTTGCCAATCTTGATTTAAACCGCTCCTGTTGATTTAAAAATAACAAGATAACAGATTTTGTTTCAACCTTTCAAATAACTTTAAACCATTTAATTACTCTAATCAATAGGGCTGTAACGATACACCAAACCCACGATTCGGTTCGTATCACGATTTTTGACCCACGATTCGGTTCGTATCACAATCTTTTTTTTTCCGTGGGGGGTGGGAAAAAAGATTTTCAAAACTATTTTTTATTAAATAACATTTGAAAAATCTTTATAAACTGAACATCAAAAAACAATATTAACTATGCAAATTATTAACAATATAAATAGTAATATATAAAATAAAAAATAGCCAAAGCTGTATCACTTTTGTTTTCTTTGTAACAAAATACTGTTGAAAAACCAAACAGAACTAAACTCCATTGTGTAAATGGTTCAAGCATGTTGAAAATTCTTTTTCAATCAAGTTCTCTTACATAGAAAAACTAAATAAATGGCCACTAGGGATGCTCATTTCGTTAATTTTGTTAACTGACAACCGCCGCTCATTAATCGCTTATTAAGGGTTAACTGGTCAGATTACTATTAATTTTATATTAAACAAATTGACTTGTCTTTTTTGTGTCTGACACATTAAATATTGCATTTTAAAATACTGATTTATTTTTAAATGCTAGCATATTAATAACAGAACAGAACAACAGAGCATCTTCACGCACCTGCAGTGTTTAGCACAGAAGAGCAGAATAATCTAAATAAAATGAATAAAATAAATAGGACTGCCCTAAATTATTTTCAATTAAATAAGTAATTTATATTACAAAACGAAAATACTGACTGATTCTTTTTAATAACCGGCATAGGCTGTTTTTTTCCAATCATATGTTTTTTTCTTCCGTCAAATAAAAATAGCTGACTTCCTCAAATTGCCCGCTTCACGGAAAATATGCATTTATTTAATGCCCCGCTGTTATTATTGTAATCACAAAACCTTTTACATTTTTAATAGAAATCATTATTTTAAAGAATATGTCTTGCTATATGGTTTCCTCTCTCTCCCTCGCGGTTCAAGTGTGCGCTGCGTGATGAAAAGACAACAACACGCGCATATGTTGACTTTTTGTAAACAGTTTTGTTGTTTAAATATGATATTGCATCAATGTGCATACATGCTTTATAAGTTGTAAAATAAAAAGTAAAGCCTATTTGTTGCGTTTATTACAGATCCAGGTCAACATCAGTGCTGGTTTAGCATCAACACGTCTGTATCAAACAGCAATATTCTACTTCTATTTTGCTTCTTTGGCAATGTGTCTGTAGGCACGAGTTATACGTTATCGTCCCGCAAATTAAGTATGCCTTGCAGTTGAACAAGGGGCCGAAAACAAGGCGCACCTCTCTGCCTTTATGTTGAAAAGGAAAAAAGAAGCGCGGTCCTCTTATGAAACGACTGAATCAGCTGGTTATCGATTGTGCTAAGGTGTTGCTGTCTGTGTTGTTACAATTGTAATATTTAATAATATCGTGATATTCAAGATTTGTACATTCATACAGCTCTGGATAACTTAAAACAGCCATTAGACCTTCAGAGCGGCATTAATGCGTCCTGAGGTAAAGCAAAACGGCTATAAACTCCAGCAAGATAGAGTGATTATATGCAGAGCCATATACCTTTATCTCTAAATAAAGTATAACTATAGAAACTGAGTTCATCTTAACTGAAAGCTTCGTCGTGTTTCCTGACATCACTCACCTGTCAGTCAGCACTCCCAAAGGGTCAAACAGAAAGTGCACAGCACGGTTACAGAAAAGTTTGCGCTGTTATAATTCACTTACCTTTAGGCTACTGTTTCACACTGAGGCTTTATGCCTGTGCTTCAAACCACAAGTCAAGTAAACATTAAACAAATAAACAACTTATTTCTCTCAAGAAAACCAAAAAGTTGAAAATTCTTCAGAAACACCATCATGTCAACATTGCAGTGAAAAACGTGACAACTTTCCTTACTCTGTGAAGTCGGGACATCTGGTGAACGCCCATCCCTCTCTGTGCAGCCACATTAACAGTGTGAGCAAAGCATCGTATATGCTGTGAAAATCCGGCCGCTTTGACAGCATTGGCAATGTTTCTGCCGTTGTCTATTGTCAAGCGGGGTTACGTTAATTTTGTTTTTGATATTCCTGACACATTTAGACGGTCCCTTACTAAGAGCTCCGTGCGAGCTCTCCCGGCTAAACGCATATTGCAAGGGCATAAATGGAGCAGTGCTCATAATGTCGAGGGGAAAAAAATTGTTTCCTCACGTTCTTCTTCAACTAGCTCAACTTTTGCAGGCACGCGTGACGTTATTGGAAAGGTAGTCACGGGGTGTGTCGCGAATCTCCTTTATCACAACGCGACACAGGATCGTAGATTCGCAATTTTGATTTTATATCGTGTATTATTACAGCCCTAGGCGCCATGTCCGAATGATACAGTGACACTGACAAAGCGCTGCATCAACCTCTTTGCGCCAAAGTTCATGCAGAGTAGCAGTGTCCCTGGCAACCCTAATGGGCACTTTAGACTGCGAGTTTTAAGGCATTTGCGATCAAGGCATTGTCCAAAGCAACTCGGAAAAGCATGTGACCTTCAGATTATAAGACTGACGTGCTGCCTACTGCGCCAACGAGGCAGATTGCAGGAGCTGGTCAGGCTGTGACACACCAGCTTCCATGTCACTGTGCTGCGATGTGGGTCCTAGGAGACAGCTCAGGCCATACAAGCATGTCAGTATGGCAGAGAAGTCTAAGGTGCTGTGTTCCGGTCGCAGTCTCCCCTGGAGGCAAGGGTGTGAGTCCCACTTCTGACAAACCCAACTTTTGGCTATGCGTTTAGGCACACGTCTTTAACTCTCTGGCATGACCTGGCATGTCCGAGTGATACAGTTACACTGACAAAGTGCTGCATCAATCTTTTTGCGCCAAAGTTCATGAAGGGTAGCAGTGTCCCTGGGCACTTTAGACTGCAAGTTTTAAGGTGTTTGCGATCAAAGCATTGTCCACAGCAACTCGTAAAAGCATGTGAACAAAACAATGGTGAGGGCTTTAATGCAAGTGCACTGAAAGGAGATCAAAAGAACTGTCTTGGAATGCCATGTAGTGGAATGTCCTGGGATGCCGTTGATTTTTAAGGCAAGAGGATTTGCAGGACTTTTCGTCAAATCCTTGTACAACGTCAAATAATAACATTTGAAAGATCCACACAGAACGTTAAGTGATTACGTGTCAGGAATGGGAGCATCTTGCCATCATTGCTTCAGACTCAGGAAATGTTCTTGGAACTTCACGCTGCCTGCCCTCCAGAGAAGCTGTAGCATCTTTTGCTCCCGGGTAGCATGAACCGTATTGAAGGGAATAATAAATGCTGCCCAGTCATCTAAGCGCTCCCATGTACCAAAAGTTACCACCCTGCCCTGTGTGAGGCTCGAACTCACAACCTTCAGATTATGAGACTGACACGCTGCCTACTGCGCCAACGAGGGGGACTGCAGTAGTTTGGCAAGCTGTGACACACCAGCTTCCATTACGCTGTGCTGCGGTGGGGGTCCTAGGAGACAGCTTAGGCCATGCATGCATGTCAGGATGGTTGAGCTGTGTAAGTTGCTGTGTTCAAGTCGCAGTCTCCCCTGGAGGTGTGGTTTCAAATCCCACTTCTGACAAACAAAACCTTTGGCTAAACGTTCAGGCTCAAGTCTTTAAATCTCTGGCGCCATGTCCAAGTGATACAGTAACACTGACAAAGCGCCGGATCAACTTCTTTGCGCCAAAGTTCATGCAGCCTAGTAATGTCCCTGGCAACCCTAATAGGCACTTCAAACTGCAAGTTTTAAGGTGTTTGCGAGTAAGGCATTGTCCACAGAAACTCGGAAAAGCATGTGAACAAAACAATGGACGAGGGCTTTAATGCAAGTGCACCGAAAGGTGATCAAAAGAACTGTCTTGGAATGCCATGTAGTGGAATGTCCTGGAATGCTGTTGATTTTAAGGCAATATGATTTGCAGAACTTTTCGTCAAATCCTTGTACAACGTCAAGTCATGACATTTGACAGATTCACGCTGAACGTCAAGAAATTACTTGACAGGAATGGGAGCATCTTGCCATCATTGCTTCAGACTCAGGAAATGTTCTTGGAACTTCACGCTGCCTGCCCTCCAGAGAAGCTGTAGCCTCTTTTGCTCCCGGGTAGCATAAACCGCATTGAAGGGAGTAATAAACACTGCCCAGTCATCTAAGCGCTCCCGTGTACCAAGTTACCACCTTGCCATGTGTGAGGCTCGAACTCACAACCTTCAGATTATGAGACTGACGCGCTGCCTACTGCGCCAACTTGGCTGACTGCAGCAGTTTGGCAAGCTGTGACACACCAGCTTCCATTACGCTGTGCTGCGGTGGGGGTCCTAGGAGACAGCTCAGGCCATGCATGCATGTCAGGATGGTTGAGCAGTGTAAGTTGCTGTGTTCAAGTCGCAGTCTCCCCTGGGGGCGTGGTTTCAAATCCCACTTCTGACAAACAAAACCTTTGGCTAAACGTTCAGGCTCAAGTCTTTAAATCTCTGGCGCCATGTCCAAGTGATACAGTAACACTGACAAAGCGCCGGATCAACCTCTTTGCGCCAAAGTTCATGCAGCCTAGTAATGTCCCTGGCAACCCTAATAGGCACTTCAAACTGCAAGTTTTAAGGTGTTTGCGAGTAAGGCATTGTCCACAGAAACTCGGAAAAGCATGTGAACAAAACAATGGACGAGGGCTTTAATGCAAGTGCACCGAAAAGTGATCAAAAGAACTGTCCTGGAATGCTGTTGATTTTAAGGCAATATGATTTGCAGGACTTTTCGTCAAATCCTTGTACAACGTCAAGTCATGACATTTGAAAGATCCACACAGAACGTTAAGTGATTACGTGTCAGGAATGGGAGCATCTTGCCATCATTGCTTCAGACTCAGGAAATGTTCTTGGAACTTCACGCTGCCTGCCCTCCAGAGAAGCTGTAGCATCTTTTGCTCCCGGGTAGCATGAACCGTATTGAAGGGAATAATAAATGCTGCCCAGTCATCTAAGCGCTCCCATGTACCAAAAGTTACCACCCTGCCCTGTGTGAGGCTCGAACTCACAACCTTCAGATTATGAGACTGACACGCTGCCTACTGCGCCAACGAGGGGGACTGCAGTAGTTTGGCAAGCTGTGACACACCAGCTTCCATTACGCTGTGCTGCGGTGGGGGTCCTAGGAGACAGCTTAGGCCATGCATGCATGTCAGGATGGTTGAGCTGTGTAAGTTGCTGTGTTCAAGTCGCAGTCTCCCCTGGAGGTGTGGTTTCAAATCCCACTTCTGACAAACAAAACCTTTGGCTAAACGTTCAGGCTCAAGTCTTTAAATCTCTGGCGCCATGTCCAAGTGATACAGTAACACTGACAAAGCGCCGGATCAACTTCTTTGCGCCAAAGTTCATGCAGCCTAGTAATGTCCCTGGCAACCCTAATAGGCACTTCAAACTGCAAGTTTTAAGGTGTTTGCGAGTAAGGCATTGTCCACAGAAACTCGGAAAAGCATGTGAACAAAACAATGGACGAGGGCTTTAATGCAAGTGCACCGAAAAGTGATCAAAAGAACTGTCCTGGAATGCTGTTGATTTTAAGGCAATATGATTTGCAGGACTTTTCGTCAAATCCTTGTACAACGTCAAGTCATGACATTTGACAGATTCACGCTGAACGTCAAGCAATTACTTGACAGGAATGGGAGCATCTTGCCATCATTGCTTCAGACTCAGGAAATGTTCTTGGAACTTCACGCCTCCTGCCCTCAAGAGAAGCTGTAGCATTTTTTGCTCCCGGTAAGCATGAACCGCATGGAAGTGGATAAAAAAGCCGCCCAGTCATGCAAGCGATCCCATGTGCCAAAACATACCACCCTGCTCCGTGTGAGGCTCGAACTCACGACCTTGACTTTATGAGACTGACGCGCTGCATACTGCGCCAACGAGGCGGACTGCTGGAGCTGGGCAGGATGTGGAACAACAGCTTCCATGGTTCAAATCCCACTTCTGACAATCCCCAACCTTTGGCTATGTGTTCAGGCGTAAATCTTTAACTCTCTGGGGCCATGTCTGAGTGATAAAGTAACACTGACAAAGCGCTGCATCAATCTCTTTGTGCCAAAGTCACTGTGCTGTGGTGTGGGTCCTAGGAGACAGCTCAGGCAAAGCAAGCATGTCAGGATGGCTGAGCAGTGTAAGGCACTGTGTTCTGGTTGCATTCTCCCCTGGTGGTGTGGTTTCAAATCCCACTTCTGACAAACAAAACCTTTGGCTAAACTTTAAGGCTCAAGTCTTTAAATCTCTGGCGCCATATCGATGTGACAAAGCGCCGCATCAACCTCTTTGCGCCAAAGTTCATGCAGCGTAGTAATGTCCCTGGCAACCCTAATAGGCACTTTAAACTGCAAATTTTAAGGCGTTTGCGATTAAGGCATTGTCCACAGCAACTCGGAAAAGCATGTGAACAAAACAATGGACTTGCCCTTTCAGTGCACTTGCTTTAATGCAAGTGCACTTAAAGGGGATCGAAAGAACTGTCTTGGAATGCCATGTAGTGGAATGTCTTGGGATGCTATTGATTTTAAGGCAACATGATTCGCAGGACTTTTCGTCAAATCCTTGTACAACGTCAAGTCATGACATTTGACAGATTCACGCTGAACGTCAAGCATTTACTTGACAGGAATGGGAGCATCTTGCCATCATTGCTTCAGACTCAGGAAATGTTCTTGGAACTTCACGCCTCCTGCCCTCCAGAGAAGCTGTAGCATTTTTTGCTCCCGGTAAGCATGAACCACATGGAAGTGGATAAAAAACGCCGCCCAGTCATTTAAGCGCTCCCGTGTGCCAAAAGGTACCACCCTGCCCTGTGTGAGGCTCGAACTCACGACCTTCAGATTATGAGACTGACGCGTTGCCTACTGCGCCAACGAGGCTGACTGCTGGAGTTAGGCAGGATGTGGAACAACAGCTTCCATGTCACGGTGCTGTGGTGTGCGTCCTGGGAGACAGCTCAGGCCAGGTAAGCATGTCAGGATGGCCGAGTGGTCTAAGGCGCTTTGTTCAGGTAGCAGTCTCCCCTGGAGGCCTGGTTTCAAATCCCACTTCTGACAAATAAAACCATTGGCTAAACGTTAAGGCTCAAGTCTTTAAATCTCTGGCGCCATATCCATGTGACAAAGCGCAGCATTAACCTCTTTGCGCCAAAGTCCTTGCAGCTTAGTAATGTCCCTGGCAACCCTAATAGGCACTTTAAACTGCAAATTTTAAGGCGTTTGCGATTAAGGCATTGTCCACAGCAACTCGGAAAAGCATGTGAACAAAACAATGGACGAGGGCTTTAATGCAAGTGCACCGAAAAGGGATCGAAAGAACTGTCGTGGAATGCCATGTAGTGGAATGTCCTGGGATGCTATTGATTTTAAGGCAATATGATTCGCAGGACTTTTCGTCAAATCCTTGTACAATGTCATGTCATGGCATTTGACTGATTCACGCTGAACATCAAGCAATTACTTGACAGGAATGGGAGCATCTTGCCATCATTGCTTCAGACTCCAGAAATGTTCTTGGTACTTCACGCCTCCTGCCCTCCAGAGAAGCTGTAGCATTTTTTGCTCCCGGTAAGCATCAACCACATGGAAGTGGATAAAAAACGCCGCCCAGTCATGTAAGCGCTCCCGTGTGCCAAAAGGTACCACCCTGCCCCGTGTGAGGCTCGAACTCACGACCTTCAGATTATGAGACTGACGCGCTGCCTACTGCGCCAACGAGGCAGACTGCTGGAGTTGGGCAGGATGTGGAACAACAGCTTCCTTCCATGTCACAGTGCTGCGGTGTGCGTCCTGGGAGACAGCTCAGGCCAGGTAAGCATGTCAGGATGGCTGAGTGGTTTAAGGCGCTGTGTTCAGGTTGCAGTCTCCCCTGGAGGTGTGGTTTCAAATCCCACTTCTGACAAACCAATCCTTTGGCTAAACGTTCAGGCTCAAGTCTTTAAATCTCTGGCGCCATATCCAAGCAAGTGGTGCTCGCTGCAGAGTCATTTGGGCGAGCTGAGCTCCAGCGAGAGGGAGCTTGACCTCCTCCTTTTTTGCACTTCTTCTACGAGTGATGTCACTGGGGGTAGGTTTAGGGGTGGGGTTAGTGTACGCATTAAAACAGCTTACAGGAGGAGGAGCGAGAGCTCATGCTCCCCTTTGCTGGAGCTCAGCTCTGCTCAAATGGCTCTGCAGCGAGCACCCTCTCTATCCAAGTGACAAAGTGCCGCATCAACCTCTTTGCGCCAAAGTTCATGCAGCGTAGTAATGTCCCTGGCAACCCTAATAGGCACTCTAAAATGCAAATTTTAAGGCGTTTGCGATTAAGGCATTGTCCACAGCAACTCGGAAAAGCATGTGAACAAAACAATGGTCGAGGGTTTCAATGCAAGTGCACTGAAAGGAGATCAAAAGAACTGTTTTGGAATGTCCTGGGATGCCGTTGATTTTTAAGGCAATAGGATTTGCAGGACTTTTCGTCAAATCCTTGTATAACGTCAAGTCATGACATTTGACAGATCCACACCGAACGTTAAGCGATTACGTGTCAGGAATGGGAGCATCTTGCCATCATTGCTTCACACTCAGGAAATGTTCTTGGAACTTTACGCCGCCTGCCCTCCAGAGAAGCTGTAGCATCTTTTGCTCCCGGGTAGTATAAACCGCACGGAAGGGACTAAAAATCGCTGCCCAGTGATCTAAGCGCTCCGAAGTGCCAAAAGGTACCACCCTGCCCCCTGTGAGGCTCGAACTCACAACCTTCAGATTATTAGACTGACGCGCTGCCTACTGCGACAACGAGGCAGACTGCAGCAGCTTGGAAAGCTGTGACACACCACGTTCCATTTCACTGTGCTGCGGTGTGGGTCCTAGGAGACAGCTCAGGCCATGCATGCATGTCAGGATGGCTGAGCGGTGTATAGCGCTGTGTTCAGGTCGCAGTTTCCCCTGGAGGCTTGGTGTCAAATCCCCCTTCTGACAAACCAAATCTTTGGCTATACGCTAAGGCTCAAGTCTTTAACTCTCTGGCGCCATGTCCAAGTGATACAGTAACACTGACAAAGCGCCGCATCAACCTCTTTGCGCCAAAGTTCTTGCAGCGTAGTAATGTCCCTGGCAACCCTAATAGGCATTTTAAACTGCAAGTTTTAAGGCGTTGTCCACAGCAACTCGGAAAACCCTGTGAACAAAACAATGGACGAGGGCTTTAATGCAAATGCACCGAAAGGGGATCGAAAGAACTGTCTTGGAATGCCATGTAGTGGAATGTCCTGGGATGCCATTGATTTTAAGGCAATATGATTCACAGGACTTTTCATCAAATCCTTGTACAACGTCAAGTCATGACATTTGACAGATCCACGCTGAACGTCAAGCAATTACTTGACAGGAATGGGAGCATCTTGCCATTATTGCTTCAGACTCAGGAAATGTTCTTGGTACTTCATGCCTCCTGCCCTTCAGAGAAGCTGTAGAATTTTTTGCACCCGGGAAGCTAGAACCGCACGGAAGGGAATAAAAAACGCTGCCCAGTCATCTAAGCGTTCCCGTATGCCAAAAGGTACCACATTGCCCCATGTGAGGCTCGAACCCATGACATTCAGATTATGATACTGACAAACTGCTTACTGCGCCAACGAGGCAGACTGCAGCAGCTCTGCAAGCTGTGACAACACCAGCTTCCATGTTACTGTGGGTCCTAGGAGACAGCTTAGGCAATGCAAGCATGTCAGGATGGCTGAGGGATCTAAGGTGCTGCGTTCAGATCGCAGTCTCCGCTGGAGGCGTGGGTTCAAATCCCACTTCTGACAAACAAAATCTTTGGCTATACGTTCAGGCTCAAGCCTTTAACTCTCTGTCCAAGTGATACAGTAACACTGACAAAGTGCCGCATCAACCTCTTTGCTCCAAAGTTCATGCAGCGTAGCAGTGTGCCTGGGAAGCTTAATGGGCACTTTAGATGGCAAGTTTTAAGGTGTTTGTGATTTAAGGCATTGTCCACAGCAACTCGGAAAAACATGTGAACAAAACAGTGGACGAGGGCTTTAATGCTAGTGCACCGAAAAGGGATTGAAAGAACTGTCGTGGAATGCCATGTGGTGGAATGTCCTGGGATGCCGTTGATTTTTAAGGCAATAGGATTTGCAGAACTTTTTGTCAAATCCTTGTACAACATCAAGTCATGACATTTGACAGATCCACACCGAATGTCAAGCGATTACTTGTCAGGAATGGGAGCATCTTGTCATCATTGCTTCAGACTCAGGAAATGTTCTTGGAACTTCATGCCGCCTGCCCTCCAGAGAAGCTGTAGCATTTTTTGCTCCCGGGAAGCATGAACCGCATGGAAGGCAATAAAAAAAACGCGGCCCTGTCATCTAAGCGCTCCCGCTCCAAAAGGTACCACCCTGCCCCGTGTGAGGCTCAAACTCACAACCTTCAGATTATGAGACTGACACGCTGCCTACTGTGCCAACAATGAGTACTGCAACAGCTCTGCAAGCTGTGACACAGCAGCTTCCATTTCACTGTGCTGTGGTGTGGGTCCTAGGAGATAGCTCAGGCAATACAAGCATGTCAGGATGGCCGAGCAGTCTCAGGTGCTGCGTTCAAGCTGAGGAATAATCATCCAACAAAGAAGGTGAAGAAGGAAAGAATAGGGTGAAGGAAGAAGAGGGGGGAAAAAACGAAGGTAAGGTGCATTCTTAGCTTCCCAGACATGCCTTCCTTGACCTGCTCTACGTCATGCATTAGCGATACTGTTCTGTGTTAAAACTGTGCATTTTGAGTTACATTGATTTCTATTGCAGGTGCTCACCAACACGGGGGTTCGAATCCAGCTAAAGACGCTTTATTGTTATTTGTTTCTTATTACTCAATAAACTAACAATTTGAATGTATAATGCTCCAAGGTAAATAAAATATGCCTAAGCACTTTGCTATTGTGTTTTTTGATATTCTTTTATGAAATATAAAGCATACTAACTTAATTGTGTTTTTATTTAGTAGTTGTTGTAGCATTGTTATGCTTCTGGTTATTATTGTTCTGTATTTTGACGTACAAATGATCTATAGAAGTGTCATAGAGCTACAGTGTTATACAGAGAAGTCAGTTATATATATATATATATATATATATATATATATATATATATATATATATATATATCTCTAACAACACCTTAACTTTTTTATTGCTTTTTGTTCTTTTCTCTCTTATGTTTAGAACTTTGAATGAACTTTGAGCACCCTGAACACTTGAAACACTGAAATTTTCATTTCTTTTGATTTTTAATTAAAAAAAGTACCATTGACAATTGCGGTGAAATCTTTGATGCCACTGGTGGAGTAGACGGGGGCTGGGGCTGGGCCTTAAGTTGTCTCGTCTCCATCACATCTTGAGCAGGTACAGTAGGGCCAGGTTGTTGCACCATTTGTGCTGGAGCAGCAGAGGCAGTACTCTGCTAAAAATAATCACAAAAATAAATATAATCATGAAGAAGGAAAGCCATTCTAGTAAATAATAATAATAAACACATATTAATTCATAAATATACATTTTGAGTGTGAAAAAAAACCACATGTGTATTTCAGCACACCTCCAAGCAAGGTCCTCTGCCCATGATATTGCAATGAGCATTTCTCAGTCTGAAAAAATCATGAAAAATATAATAAATAATTTTATACAATATTTTACAATAAAAACTTTTATAACTAAACAAGAATTTTAACTCAATGACTCCCTTAATGAAGCACACAATAGCTCTGTAAATTAATTTATCACTGTTTCTAGAATGTGTGTAATATTTATCTAATATGTAATTGTAGTTTGTTTCTCTAAAACGAAAAGAAAAAGATAGAGTTAAAGTTGGTTTTATATTCGCACATTCGTTCATTTAGCAGTCTCTATATTGTTTACCATATTACTTTGAATATTCGATTGGAATTAGCATGCAAGTATGATTTAAAAACAACATTTACACTATCTAATTCACTGTGAACAATGCTGTACTTTTATCATCATTAATCATTGTCTGCTAATATGATTTTCCTATTTAGAATTTGCAAAGAATACTTTTCTGAAATTATATTAATAAGGAGAATGTCTGAATATCCTAATATACAACCAACTTCACCTCTATAGGAAAAAGAATAAGAGGAACTGGACAGGAACATTTCAGGCCTTAAAACCACATGCTGTATACTGTACACTCATAATCCATTCCCCCACCTTTTCAAATCTCTCTCATAAACGGTCAAACTTACTAAATTATTCGACGTAAATCTCAAAATACATGCAATTTAAAACACATTTTTGTTTAAAAACAAGTATGACATGTTTTACATAGATACTGTACTGAATGTACTAAAGCCTAACAAGTTAACGTTACTCTGTTAAGCAAATTTCAACAAAACAATATATCATGTAAACGAAATACACACCCTTTGATAAATCTCATGCCACTTTTTTGCAGAGGAAGCTGGCCTGATCCTGTTGCCCTCATTTGATGGCCAAACTCCTGTTCTGGCAAACTTTTTCAGACATGAAATCCAGTCAGCGTCTGACATGGCTTTATGGGATTTTCCAGACATTTTTTCTCCAAGAAATTAAACGGTTTTAGATTAAAGTATCAAAATTTGAAATACAACACACTAAAACATTAATACGAGCAATTATGTAGATTTTCTTACCTTTTTTTAAGAAATCACTATCAAAAAAAAATCCAGTACTTTACACAAAACGATGCTGTGCTATGTCGAATGATGCTGATTGTCGAAAATCAATTAACTTTTTTGACCTTTGACCCGCCCCCAGAGAACCGTGTCATTCTTTCGTGTACCTTCGGCTCAGTTCAGAAAATTGATTGACATCTGATTAACCTGTTTGACTGCACACCTAGCGGTGAATATTGGAACGGTTCCTTCCCTGGCTTTAACATTGTCTCGACTCTGATTGGTCAAATGTTGAAATTGTTTCCATTGAAATTTGAGTCCATTGAATCCCATTTCTGTCGTTCATATGGCAAAACTGAAAGTCATCTTACCGAAAATAGTTACAATAACATACATATAAAAATATGTGCCACAGTCCAGCCTCCACCAGTGAAAAAGGAAAATACGTGATGAGGTGGCCGAGTGGTTAAGGTGATGGACTGCTAATCTATTGTGCATTTGCACTCGTGGGTTTGAATCCCATCCTTGTCGCTCATATGTTCTGGCATTCGAGAGACTGGTGTTTCTGTAAAAGTTGTTAAACTCTCTTATTGTTTTGAAACTTGTTGCAAAATTTAATGTCATCTTTATAGAAAATAGCCGCAAATACATACATATATGCCATAGTCCAGCCCCCATCATGAAAGTGAGTACATACATGACGAGGTGGCCGAGTCCATCGAATCTCATCCTTGTCCTTCAAATGCTTTGGCGTTTGAAAGAGGCCGGTTCTTTCGTGGAAGGTGTTTTACTCGCACGCTCTTATCGTTTTGAAGGATGTTGTTGCAAAGTTTAATGTCATCTTTACCAAAAATAGCAGCAAATACATACAGAAATGCCATAGTCCAGCCCCCATCAGGAAAATGAGTACATACATGACGAGATGTCCGAGACCATCGAATCCCATTCTTGTCGTTCATATGCTCTGTCTTTCATATGGCAAAACTGAAAGTCATCTTACCGACAATAGTTGCAGAATCATACATATACAAATATGTGCCAAAGTCCGGACTCCACCAGAGAAGGAAAAGTGTAGGAGTCCATCTATTAGCCCAATGACAAAACTAACAGCATGGTTGAAGGTTTAATGTATGTAAGCCTTTTCTAGTGCTTCTGAAAAGAATTTAATTATTTATTAGAATTAATTTTTATCAGTTTTTTACCTCCGAATTCAATCTGACTCCAATTTAAATGATCATAAAATTTAGATTGTATTTCTAATTGTGAGAACGGATCACATTCATCATTTATGATTTATCCGATATTCTAAATTGTACGTTCATTAGGGACCAACATCGCTCAGAGTTCCACGCCCCGGGTTTGCGCTTCTTCTCACGGACAATATGTCGACACTCTGAAAATAGTCAGAGGATGCAGGATTAACTATATTTGAATAAGCTGGTCGCATTAACTCTTACCTAGTCTTAAAAAACCAGATCCTTAGCCAAGCCCATACAACTTGCTACTTCCAGTGGTTGAATGACTAAAAGGTCTACATGTTATCGGCACGCTATGGCTAACAATAATCAAATCCGCCTATTAATCAATTCAATTATGCCATACTATAAAGGTAATGAAGACTCCTCATAATCTACTGGATACAATGAAATCGCAAAACTCCAGAATTAATCAAAACTTAACATTTTATTTGTCAGGAAAAATTGTATTCTGCCAATTACATAATAAATCATCAGGAAGCCAATTCAGAGATGAGACTGTAACAATACAACATCCATTAATCAAAGATAAATCAAAGAGTTAGAGATGCATACATGACCAGAGAAATACATTGCAGCATAAGTCTCAATAAGTCTCAGAGATGCTGCAATGGGGTGTCTTTTTACAAGATCTCCCCCGTCCTAAAGCACATCTTACCTTATATACTCAAGTCAAAACAAACAGCCATAAATTCAAGACAATAAAAGTGTCACAGAAACCCTGGCCTGGTGAATTTGAGGACTTAACCATCTCTGAGGAGGGAGAGCATCTTATCAAGATCTTATAGAAGTCAAAAACCAAATCAACATGTACTAGTGAACTATTACTGTAAAATTAAGACCACTTTACCAATCACACAGAGACATTTAAAATGATACCAAACATGAATATAACGCTGCAAGATACACCATGTTAAAACCTTGAACATTTTATGTGAAATGTGCTCTGATCAGCAAGTCGCTTAAAGGTCAAGAAGGGAGGCTTGGGGTGAAAGTAAAGGATGCATTCCTGCATTCTTCCCTGCTGTAGTGTAGCTCTGTTTCTCCAGTCTGTGTTTTCATTGTCAGCTGTGATTTGAATAGAACAGTGGAACAGTTGGTTTCTTCATCACTTCTCTTGTCTAATGAAATTTCATAACAGTTCTCAGGGTCTGATTTTTTAGATCCTTACAGAATAGTGCGACAAATAGAGTTAATTGCTTGCCATTTTTACACTTGCTGTCTTTTTTTAGTCTCTGTGTGCAAAAACGTCTTGCATCCTTTTCAGCGTTGGCGCTGTGGCTTAGTTGGTCAAAGCGCCTGTCTAGTAAACAGGAGATCCTGGATTTAAATCCCAGCAGTGCCTAATCTACAGGTGCCAGGGTTGCTTTTTGTTAAGAGTAACGAGTGTTACGCAGCGGGATGTTAAGCAGTAGGTTTCTTAACAAAACTCAAATCCTTAAGAACGCTGCTCGTTCAAGAGGGCTTTGGACGATGACTTTATATAGCATAGTGTGGTAATGCCTAACCAATTGGACTTTAATATTTCAAGTCCAGACATTCACACATGCAGCGCTACCGTTGTTTGTTTGTTTTCTTTTTTCGAATTAAACAATTGGCCCCTTTCACAATCATTTGGCACTGTGGCTTAGTTGGTCAAAGCGTCTGTCTAGTAAACAGGAGATCCTGGGTTTGAATCCCAGCAGTGCCTTAGGTTGTTTTCCGCTTTGGCCGAGGGAAAATCTTACCCGTCTTAGGGAACCCCCCTTCGTGCCCATCGGTCAACTGCCACTCACACTGCAAGCTCCTGTGCAGGCTTCCTCCTTGATTTAGAATTTTCTGCAAACTTGGGAAAGCGCAGTCAACAACCATGAAAGCCATTGAGACTACCTACTAGAATTTAAACATTGAGACAGGTTAATCAAACACTTAAATCAACTGAATATCAAGCTGAGATTATTCAGGGAGTTTAGATATCACCCTGATCCATTCAGTGTCAGGGTCTACTACCTCAGTATAGCCATCAGGCCCTGTATATGATGGTGGAGACTAAGGATAAGACAAAAGTTACAAACAGTAATAAACCACTGAAGACAAGACAATAAATTTCTAAACAGTAATAACAACTGTTCAAATTAATTATCTCTATAGCTCAGCGGGTATATTAGTGTTTTTCAAAATGCGTTTAACAAAAGCATTTTCATTCACTCATTTCTCTGTTCACTTAGTCCCTTTATTAATCCGGGGTCGCCACAGCGGAATGAACTGCCAACCTATCCAGCACGATTTTATGCAGCTGGTGCCCTTCCAGCTGCAACCCATCACTGGGAAAACAAACAAAAGCATTTTGCAATCTCTTATTTGTTAAATTTGATTTTTAATTACTAATACCTCCATGAGTGCATACAAATTAAAATGTAGAAACTCTGTATTCATTCTAACATTTCATTTGCATCTGTGTTTTGTGATTTCCAACTGAGCACTGTGCTTATCAATTGTTATGGAACAGGCAGATATCAGCTCTTAGCTGACATCTAATGAGAGAGAAAGAGAGTTTTGAGCAATCCAGAATGAAAATGC